ACGACATTAGTGCGTCAATTATCTCAGTACGTTCCTGACCAAAGATGTTAATTTAAAATTAAATATTTCATTTAATCACGTCGATTCTCTCAAGTTGACCGATATAGCCATGAGGCGTTTTTTTTGAAAATTAAAAACCCTCCCTCCCGTAGTGATATAACATCGAGCGTTTCGTTAATGATATGCGAAACTAGCCTCGAAATCGAGGAAGTGGCCATGGCGGCCGATAAATACGTTTCGACACCAGCCCGCCAGCTAGGAATGTCATCTGTGCCCACACAGAGCGGAATGCTCGTCCTACGCCGTCTGGTGGGTAGAGAGGCATCAATCTACGAACTATTGTCACTGCTTTGACCGTTCGATGTGGACCTTGAATCTAAACCATCAACCAGCTTGGTAACGGTTGTAAGCCACAATTCGTCGGTTGCACGAACAGACGAAAAAGAGTGTCGAGTTACTTTGTAAGCGATTTGTAAATGTTTTCTGGTTTTAAAAGTATCGGGGATAGTGACGCATCTTGATAGATCCAGTTATCCGGTAATGGCTAGTGATGATTTGAATTTATTATGATATGATTATATTTGTATAATATTTATAAATAATATTTGCGCGATTTCTCATTGTGATATATGTATACAGTATTTTCTGCATTTCATTAATGTTATAGGCTCTCATGCTAGACGTGGTATAACCAGAAAAGTAAATATTGTGACGAAGCCAGCGAGTAAACATTTCGTTTCGATTGTACCCATCTTAACTCGTTACGTAACGAAACTACCAAAACAAAGAGAAGAAAAAAATCAATCACTCCGAAATTCTATTGAAGCGTTTGAAAACAAATTAGAACGGGGGCAATTTTCGTTTCGAAAACCGGATTTCCTTTTCACAATTTACTTTGTACATCTCGAAAACTGAACGAGAAATTTGCAGTTACTTGAAGCCGGAATAATTGAATGCTTTTTTCTTTTAGTGAAATCGATTTCTCAAACATCCGTTTCATCCGAGATCTGGGTAAGCAGATTTGATGTTTAAATAATCACTCATTTCTTGAACGCACACAGCTCTCACGCACTTGAATCAATGTTTCGAACAAACATACGAAAAATTTCTATACTTCGAATTCACAATTTTGACCAGAATATCGTGACCACTATTGCCATAACTTGCATAATGAACAAAACGTAAATATGAGCTATCTATTTAAGATTATGTAATTAACATATAAACAATGAAAACTCGACTCATTAAAACTCGTTGACAACTTATAACATACAACACGAAAACATAGTTACTTTTTTGTAGGTCGTGAGGAATAGCTTTACATTATTAATAACAATTTTTTTCACATCAAACTGTACTGACACCCTTTTCAAATATTCTTTAGTGACTAATTAACGAACAAATAAATATTGTCTTCGTGGAATCATTAAACGTAAAACTAGTTGAATTTCTTCAGTCGACACAAATCATAACAAAGTTTCGAGCGGGAAAAGATCTGACTCTTTGTCACCAGCATCAGTTATAAGTCAAGGGTACAGAATTAGTTTTACGAATCGCATTTTCTCAAAGCGGATTCCGACTAAGAGCGAAAACACAATCGGATGGAAACGAAGAGAGTGGTACGCTTCCGTCACGAGTACCCACCCACTTGAGTAAGTGCAATTTGATGGATTTGGAGGAGCGAGTGCGTGTTGCGGCGATACGTGACGCGCCAGAAGTAGGGCGACCATTAACCATGCAAACAGCGGACAAGAGAAGAGGTCTACATTCCGATTTTTTGTGTACTTTTATTAAGTGAAAATCTTATCAACGCCCAATAATCAATATTTAGCGCTCAGAAACTGAGTTAAAATCTCAGTGCCGGCACCAATGGAATTGTTAGTTGCGATTTTAACTTCTTACTTATCGCGTACACAGCGGTGAGGAAATCTGCACGTTTTCGAAATAATAATGAAACAAATTATTTCGAAGACTGTCTGTTCTGGAGTCGTGTGGTGGACTATACCCTAATACACTCTCGTATACATGTTTAGGCTATTACTTTACTTTTACTTTTTAATGTTTTTATGTGTAGTAAGTACGGTGGAAAGCGTCATGTAATGTGCCCTGTAAGATTAAGTAATAAGATACAATCAGATATTTTATGACGAAGATGCTGGTAAAGCTTGGAATCTGTCTTTATTTCTTAATACAATAAGATGGCATCTAAAAAAGGTAGATATAGATGATAGGTTTTTCAATTTAGCGCTTCCATGAAAATTCACTATGCTCTCATTATCCGACGTCAGGCTTAAATTACGTCAGCTTTATAACTTCAATACCAAATCAAGAAGTAAGCTGAGCCGCCAGCTCGTCTGCCACTTACCCACATAAAAATAACCACATTCCCATACTGTCACGTTAAAAACAAAATCAGCTTCGACACAAGCATCCACGGAGCTTATATGAGAAGCAGCTTGCGGATGCACTCCTCGTTCGTTCCTCGTAAAAAGCGCCCGAATTTTACTGCTCGGCACCGACGTGTTTTAGAGGTGTGTCGTAAAATGAAAAAAAAAAAAAAAAGTTAAAAAACTGTTAAGTACACGCATTGTTCCGACTAAAAAGTATGGGTTTAATTTATAGCTATGCACGCGTTGCGTATTATTATCTTTTCCTTCAATCGACTGCCAAAGATGTGCGATTATGTTATTTATACAATGATTAATGGTAACTAAAATCATCTGAGCTATAAAAGTTGACGTACTAATATTTCCAGTACATATTTTATCTAAACTGTATGGTAATACATTTTGTTTTACTCGTTTTAGTCCGGTGTGGTTTATGCAGGCCACTTAGCCATAAAAATCCTAATTTCTAAGTTTTGTTCACTTTTCAAAATCCATAATTCTTTCCATATTTCTGGCTCATGAATGGCGGTTTGTCCGTTATTGTAATTTATTACTTTATTTCATATAACTACTAATATAGTATACAGTAAATTGTATTTTATGTTTTAGTTAAAGAAGGTTGAAAATATTTTTAAATCTTTTACGCACAGAATTTTTTTCTACAAGTGTAAGTCTCATAAATATCTCAAGATCTATCGTTTATAACATTTTATCATTTGCTCATGTTTCATGTTTCTAACATTATATAATTTCTGGATTACGTTCCTAAAGTGTTTCCTTCACTTTCTTTAATGTTAATGTAACACTGTGTGTCTCGCTCATCTATATCTTATATGTATATCATTTAAGTAATGGAAAACGTCTGTTCAAGCCTAACTTGTAAACAATAACGTATAATTTCGAAAGTACCTGGATTGGCGACTCAACGAAACAGTGTCAGATTTTACCTATGTGGAAATAGAATATTTAAATTTGAGATAAAATTTCTTTATATATATTACGCAGAACGATTTCTTCTAGAGAAATAAAAGAATCGACGCGATGTTATTTATGAGACAAGTGTGCGAGTACTGACAAGTATTTTTTACAGTTATTAATTTCATTTCTATTGCTGACACCAAAGTCGGGGCAATAAATCATAATACCAATAGATCTCTATTTTTTATCTGTAAAAGCTCACGACAAGTGGGTTTTTATAAATGAGATTGCATGATTTACACCTTGTAACCGTGGTAAATTTAATTTAGACTTTCGGACTTGTGGTAAAGGAATTTAGAGCTTTCGTCACGGTCGTAAGACTAGTTTTTGAACAGGGTAAAATTTTAAAAGCGGGCACAAGTCTAGTTCACCACGTAAAAAATATACGAGCGCACAGCCCATTGGGGACAAAGGAGAGCTTTAAGACACTCTTGGATCGTTGCAGTGAACTTTTACTACTTCGGAATGACCCTTTGAGCGAGAATAAAGGACTTTTTAAGGTGGGCTTTTGTGCTGAGCGGTAACGGAGGCGATTCGGCTCGGGGCTTTGTGGTGTCGTGTGTTCACACTAATTTAGGTCCGGCGTCCTCAAACTTAAGGGGTTAGCCGACTGCTCTTAGCGGACCGTAAGTCAGACGGAGGATTTTTCAAAAGAAAATCACGGAAGTTTGCGGAAGAACCAGCTTGACCTTAAATTATCATCGCAGTCCTGGATATCACAAACAGAATAATCATGTATAAAGTTCTAAGCAACACAAAAATACAGTTTTGCCTCCCGGTAAAGTTGGAACAATGGCCATCGGGCATGCTAGTATAATATTTGAGTAAACTTGTTCCAAAGCCGGCAAATTTATCCGACAGCATCGAAATTTACATTCAAATGTGTACCTCTGTAGCGTATAAATATAAAACGCATAAATATCAATAAGTTATCCACTTCGTTACGACGATACTTTACGACTTAACTTATTTAGAAACAGTTAGGCGCCTATTGTCATTAAAATTAACGTCACGACCGGACAAAGCCCAGGGCGGCTTATCTCCTCGAGATAATCTCATACTTTATATGTGATGAACATAAAAATCGATATATGTAGACGATTAATTTAAATTCATGGCGTTGGCGAAGCTCGGTAGCGCGGTGCTTTAAATAAAGCTACCAAATCCGATTTGCGATTCGAAATAAACTCACACGGTTTTAAATCTAATAGGTTAGAGGGAGATAGTGGTGTTTGATTTTTTCAAGTACCCGAATTTTTCATAATATCATGTTATTATATAATCGCTATCTCTAATTTTGATTCATTTGTTATTTGGTTAAACATTTATTGTGAACTTTTATATGTTGTAAAAAGAATCATCACAGAAATTAATTGTTCATCACTTGATACCGATTTCAGCACTCATAGAAAAAGAAACCCAAGCGACTATCGATGAAACAAATCCAAGGAAGCGGAGTAACCTCTAATGAAACAACTTAAGGGCGTCTGTCTTTCTATCGAATGTAGCGTTGGTTTGTTCAAGACAAAAGTGAATATGAATTCACTGAGCTAGTGTCCATCTACTTCTGGGTCACCATCAGGTGGTATAGCAGTCAACAATTCACGTAACAATTCAGCCACCTTCACTCCGTTAGGTTGGTAATGGGAACGTGCCGATAGCTGACCCGCCGGCGACAACACGACGCCGCCGTGCCATTCGAAATGCCATCTGGTAGCCTTGTCGTTTAGTGCCCCACGCCCCCGGCCTTATGCAGGCGAACAATCCCGGAGAGCTCTGATGGAACCAATTTAGAGATTTTATCGCGTTCATCTATTTTACTTTGAACGCCCCACGTTTCGAATAGTTTTGCTTAGTTCGTGGACCGACTAATATGGCTCAAAAAGTATGTAAGTAATTAATAGCTGAAATATCAATCACAGCAAATCTTTAGTATAACTAGAAAATATGGTGTAACAAAGGACAAAAACAGATATTCTTAAACCGATTGAAACGAAGACAATACCAGCGAAAATGATAACTATATGTAGTCATTCCTCTCAAGACATCCACCCTTAGGATCCTTACAATCTAACTGGTTAAATTAAAGCCTAAACAAATATACTTTATAGGTTCCTTTAAACAAACTGCTTTAAAGACCATGTCATTTTCAATATATCTTTATTCTCATATTCATTGCCACCAACGCAGCTCGACCTCAAGACTATAAGTACATTCTGCATTGATAAAGATCCAGTAGATATGACATATGGACGTAAACATAAAAGCTTGTCTTCTGGTTATGAACGCTGTAAAGTTTCAAAGGCTCAGGGATTTGGTAACAAAATTCAACGAAAGGGAAATAGATTCACAGTAGCTTGCAACATACGTTAATGGAGTAGAGACGTTTTGACGTCGAAAATGTTTGAAGATTTGAAATGATTGAATAACGTTACAGCAATAGTACGCGTTAAAAAATTATTTCGTTGAACAGTTTAGTCTGACAATGAGGAGCATCAGAGAAAATCCAGGGTATTATTAGGCCGCTGGTTTTTTTTTATTTGTGAAGGTGGTAAACGAGCTGAAGGTGTTCACCTGATGCTAAGCGATAACCACCATTGACATTTGCAACACCCGTAGTGTTGCAGATGCGGTGGTCAATGAGCCCCGACTACTTCACTCACCAGACGAAGCGCAGAAGTGTAAGACCAGCGCATGGTTTTCTGTGAAGTCGTGGTACTTACCCAGGCGGACCTATCCATTCGTGGACTTAAAAAACCGGCTAAGTGCGAGTCGAACTCGCGCACAAAGGGTTCCGTACCATTATTTACAAAAACAGCAAATAAAACATGGTTGTTGAATGGGAGCCCGGCCTAAATACTTTTTTCAATCTTTTTTTTTTTAGTATTTGTTGTTATAGCTGCAACAGAAATACATCTGTGAAAATTTTAACTGCCTAATTAACACGGTTCATTTGATACAACAGCCTGGTGACAGACAGACAGACAGCGGAGTCTTAATAGGGTCCCGTATTACCTTTTGGGTTTGGAACCCTGAAAATACCGTCGATATTGCCGATTACATCGTAAAATTAAGATTTTGTCAATGGTATCGCAATAAAGTTGGCTCACGTGCGTCCCATTGTAGGCGGCGTTTATGGCCGGGTACCAATTTTCAATAGGGCCCATTGTGCTGTAGCGGCGGGTATAACTTGATCCCGGCGAATTGATTTTTACGGTGCGGCTTAAGGCGTATCGCGCTGCGCCGCGGATCAAATAGCGGTGGTCGCGCAATTTAAATGGCCCCAAAGGCCCGACGTGGGTGCACTGTTGCCGTTGAAAGAGATTAAAACGTAAAAGGAAAACCGAGATAATACATGCAGGTATTTAAAAACCCTCACCATCAATATGGTGACTTAATATTATACCCACCCTAATAGTAGCGAACGGATAATCACGACAAGTACATCGTACAAGAAAATTGTAACGGCTTTTGTTTAAGAAATAAAATTAATGTGATGACATTTAATTGAGTTACTCGTACCAATAGTTTTAATTGCTTAGTTCGAATCCAAGATATCTGAACGAATTGATAGCGATAGTTTATAATAAAAACAAGTAGTGGTTCAAAGCTAAAATTTCTGAGTAAAATAGGTTCTTTAGAATATACTTAGACATCTTTTATACTTTTTTAAAATATGATGTGGTAAACAATAGGGAAAAATCGAGACCTTTGAAAATTTGCCATTGAAAAAATACTTTCGCCAATAAAGATTTTCTTACGTTTAATTTGGTTCTCGTAAAGATTTCATGTTCAGAAAGCAAACTTATTCCCACCAGCGTTTAAAAATAAATGAATATGAATGACATGGTATAAGCAACAACAATGTTCAGTCGAAAATGCAAAAACTATCTAAAGAGTTTTGTTATATCACGTTAAACGAAAAAGACAGTTGAAAGGAGTTTCACGATATAATTTTCCTTATTAAATTTTGAACGTCGCGCGTCGTACGAAATGTTTCTTATTAAACGTTCAGGGGGATACTGTGAAAGCGTTTCCAGGAATCGCTTATTTACAAAGTCTGGAAGAAAAGCGAGGCTCGCGCGGAGTAATTTGCATATTTTAATTCGACAGCTCGGTTGGCGTTCGCAGGGAGGCTATCGGATTCGGTGTAGTAAGTATGATTTACAGTTAAATTGTTCCGTGATCCGTCCGTGGGAAATTAGCGTATTGTCCCAGCGTAAGAGGGTAACGTAGAAATAAGGCAATGGAAAGAAAACCATTACTGAGTGCCAGGGAATGGGCTTCTGGATGTGTTTAAGTTAGCAAAACTAATAAAAAGCTGAACGTGAATCTCGACAGGGTATTCTGCGAACCCAGCGATATCAACATTCCGAAGCTTATTAACTTCAGCTCTTAGCTTACTAGGGTCCAAATAGTGAGACACCATCCAACTTACATAAGTCTATGATACTGATTTTTGCACGAGTCGTCTAAAAGAATGCAGGGCAATGAGTTTGAACCTTATCGACTTTAAATCAAAATTTAGCATCCCTACCAAAAGATCACCGCTGCCTGCTAGTTTATTATGGAACATTAGGCACTGCCCGTCGCGTCTCTTAATTTCGAGAATTATCACTGAGCTTGAAGCTAAAGCCTCCATTTTTTAAACCCAAAACCTATCCTTTATAAAAAGTATATCATATCCATTACCCATCTACATCTTTATGTTATCTCTATCAATAAACTACACCTAAATAACTCCACCTATATATCTATCAATAAAAAAATCATAACCGTGGCAGAAATCGAGAAGATTCTTTGCTCAGTCGCGAAAAAGGGCGAACCAGCAAACACATTTCGGCATTTACAATAATAAGTAAGGAAGCGAGTTAACGCCAAGTTCGGGATTTCCAGCACGTCGCTCGTTTACGCCGCGATGTTTATTTTAAATAAGGTCCCGCTAAGTAAAAGTAAACCCGCTGGATTTCCTTGCCCCGATGGGCTGGCTGAATGAAAAATTAAGTCTTGTTTTTTGTCTCCCCGTCCGACTTTTCCAACCCTCAGTGCGGACGCTCCCGATGTTGAGCAGGAAAATAATTATCACTCTCATTGTCTGTGGATTCTGAAGACGATTGTGTAAGAAATCAAATTGTCTGCGGACTTAAATTTCAGTTCGGGATCAGTCATAGGAAACCCAAGTAGTAATCACTCCATTCGCCTGATAAAGGAGACTGGCGTGGAGTGGGACTTTGGTATCACATTAAAATCTACTTTCACTCAACAAGACAAGCCAATAATTTAAAAGAGAAGAAAAAAATAGATACATAAACATTAATTTTAAACAACTAATTTATACGGTATTCGGGTTCATTAGCTCCCAAAATTTTTCCGTCATTAGATTATTGAACTTTATAGAATTAATAATGTGTGCAAAGGTTTATATTAGGATATATTCGGCTATGCAACCTCATTGCAGATTGGCGGAGTTCATATTTATATAGAACTAATTATTGATTAATAGTTTGTATTAATCGCTTGGACGGAGTAAAAGATGATATTTGAACGACACATTGTGTGAATGAGAAGGATGAATGATTTTCGCTCTCTCTTGCAACGATGCGGACGACACGAACGAATAACGTGTTTCCCTGAATTAAAATTGTTTAATTTAAATTTAAATAAATGTTGGAATATAAAGAATTACTGATGACTCCGTGGCGCTGGCGCCAAGGTATTGTCTTCGGCGCCGAGGATCGTGGGTTCGATTCCCACATGTGACAACTATTTGTGCGACCCACAGATAAGTAGTTGTTTCTAATCTGGGTGTTTGTCCATGTGGAATTTATGTTTGTAAAGCGTCCTTACAACACAGGATAAAGTTATCCTAAAGAGAGGGCAGTGTTTTTTTTTTAAAAGAAAAAAAGACTTGGAAAAGGGATTTCATTTATCATTATAAATGTTATTATACCCATGTAATCCTTTGGATAAGATCTTACAATGATGTCGTTTATAAGACAATATAATATTAAGAAAATAAAGGTCAATTCTCTTAGCTCATATTTCTAAATATTAACTAAGAGAGTTGGTTACTGACAGATGCAACGTAGCCAAATTTGAATTGTTTTAGTTCTTTTCACTACGAAGTGTATCTAATCGGAGTTTTCTGTTTTCGAACCGCGTTTTACAGTGTCACGGGCTTTAATGCGGCAACTGATTCGTCGATTAACACGACGAAATTTGAACCTCTGATTCCGTCGTGTTATTCGATTCAGAGGGAATTGAATTCGGCAAAACGTCCGCGGTGTTTCGGGGCGCGCTTAATCGAATTAGCGATAACAAGACAATTGTACATTTCGGCGGGCCAGCTACGACCAGTCGGGGGCACTAAGGGGCAAACGCCCCCCGCCCCCGATTAATTACTCAACGTTAATCCCACAACCGCGCTTGGCGGCTCCGTGGAATCGGAATTATGATGTTCTTGGAACGATCCCGCCGCACACTAATTGATTCTATTCGGAAATGCGAAATACTATTTCTTGACGAGAGTTTTCCAAGTGATTATTTTTGTGTATAAAAGTCATGACTTGTTATGGTTTCGCAGACTTAGGCTGTTGTAAGCCTTATTACATTTTTATTGGAACATCTCTGGGGATTTTATTCACGTGTTATATATTCACTTTTGGGGTGAGAACTTTTTCCGTTATCATAGTAAATATACATGTTGCACGAATAAGCGAGCAAGGTCTACGGAAAGTACCATAGCCTCACAGAAGACCAGCATGAAGTGGAAGTATTTTTGCTATCGCGTTACGTGTGGACCTTTGTAGGGTTCCGTAGCCAAACGGTTAAACGGGACCCTATTACTAAGACTCTCTATCTATCTGTCTATCACCAGGCTGCATCATATGTCATGAACCGTGATAGTTAGACAGTATTAACTTACACAAATGATGTATTTATATTGCCGCTTTAACAGCAATACTAAAAAACACTACAAAAAAAGTATTTAAGAGGGGCTCCCATACAGATTTTATAGATAATGGTACGGAACCCTTCGTGTGCGATTCCCACTCGCGCTTGTTTAAAGTTTGTCAACGCAGCTCTAACAGACCCGATTCTGTAGCGTCCATTGCCTTAGCATCAGTTTAAGAGTAATTTTGTGTAAGTTTGTTCCGTTGCCTCATTATCACGAACATCACATGATTCCTTGTTGTTAACGAGGAGTGATTTTACATTGCCCTCGCAAACGAACGCTTGACGGCTTAATGGTGCGAGAAGCGTCTATCGTTTACTTGCGGGTGTAAAGCCGCGTGTCAAGTGCACGGCACACCTTCTGTGTGCAGATGATTGAGTAAAAAGCGTTATGGAGAGGCGATTTCCCCCGGGCACGGAGCAGTCGATATCTATTGTGTCCCCCTTCGGCGTTAAATTATGGGGTGCGTCGGGAGTAAGCAACATCTGCCGGCTTTGCCCTTCATCAATATTTGCCTATTTGGCTTTGGAATAATGCGCGCGTGTGGTACTGTTTGCCGTGAATCAAATTCGCGAATGTTACGAGTGTTCTCGCATCGCGACGGTTAATGCGATGTGAAAGGATGATATACTGATTGGCGACTTCTTTGTTTTACGAATTAATTCGTTTCAAAAAGCTGCCCTGGCAATAATTGCGCGACACATTTACGAATTAGATTAGGAAAAATAACTACTTTGATGTACGATTAGCAATCGCTGATATCAACATACAATCATGGAACGGCATTCCATAACATTGGCACGACCGACATATACATAATGAACATTAATAAGTTACTTATAACGGCGTCACAACTAAGATTGAAATCATGCGCGTTTTACTACGGTTTTTTTATACTGGATGCAATATCAAGGATTGTCACGAATACTAAACGTTTTTTAAAGTATTCATCGAATTTTAATGCGCTTAATAATTAACAAACAGTTTTGATTGTATCGTCACACTTGTAAAGTATCATAAAAACATATATATTAGACGCTATGAAATCCGTTAAATTGTATTATTTAAAAATATGCCGCGCTATTTTCTTCAATCGATGCTTTCCAATATCCATGGCGTAATAAAACAGTGCGTGGGATTAAAAATAAGGAACCATTACTTATAAGTTTTATTGTAGGTGTTGCGGTATCGAAACGTATCAATGAATAAAAATAATATAATGCTATAATTGGATTCGCCTTATCGCCGGCTACGTACGTATCAGCAAGGTCGTCGTATCCATTAAGGGCCCTTCTTGTGTCGGTGCAAAATAATTGAGGTAAGATCCAGTCTCTTTTTAATGACTCAATCGGTCTTCAAGTACTTATCGCCGCTTTATAGTTAGTGTGTTGCATGTAAATGAACTAGTTCATACCGATGAAAGATATTTAGACTATTTTAAACTATTACGTGTTACGAAGTCGTTGTCCAGAGTAAAAGATTTGTCTTCTTTTACTCTGGACAACAACTTTTTTTTTATCTTTGGATAAGTAGCCATTCTGATGAACGATGACTCCCAATAAATGATAGAAATGAGATATTTAATGGTTTCCAATTTTTAGTTTTCCTTCACAATGGATGAAACACAAATGTATAAAAATAAAGTTCTATTATATAGGCCGGTTTAATTATCGATTGGATAGGTTACGTACAAGTCAAATGTTTTCGTTATTATTCATGTAATAAAATCTATATAAAAATATAGTTTTAGCACCTATGTCACAAGAAAGTTATAGCAAAAGGGTTGGAAGCAATTAATTATTTTCAGCGCTTCTCCTTAGGTTAAACTACCAAAAGCAGTCAGTTAAATCATTCCGTTAGACGACGATTACTGTATATCGCTCGAAGCGGCTGGAATATGGAACTAGTATATTTAAAATGATTAAATAGTTAATAAAAAGTACTCGTAAAAACGTGTTGGTTCAAAATATTTCTTGGATTCCTGAAATTAAGCTCCGGACAGCTGTTCTCGCTAGTATTATTAATTTCATATTTACTATTTTCATTACTTGAAGGAAAATCAAATTTTATCTTCGCCAAACAAGGCGAGATACGAATTGCTTACGAAAAGAGAAAATTTTCTTAAGCATTCACAAAAACACGATCTCCCACCAGAGGCTGTTATTGTAACGTAAAAAAAGTCGGAGGCTCGAATGACAAAAGGGACCTGATGACGGGGAGGGGAGATGGCGAACGTAATTATATCTCGGCCCCCGTAATGCGTAATCCAACACTGGCGATATTAAATATACCACCGGGAGAACCAAAAAGCTTACGCTTTCTAAGAAATTACTTCTATCAAACGAATCGGGGGCAACGTCGGATTCATTAATTAAATAATAACATGATCTTATTATTTGGTAAGAGAGGAAAACATTTCCTTATTACTTCTTAAATGAATATTATAAATTATAGCCAACATTTCTGATAACGTAATGTAACTAGAACAAGTACTATTTATAATATATACGTTATTTTTATCCTGAATCTCACGTGGTTTCTTTTCTGAGATTGTGACTAGCAGATTATGTAGTCTACTGTTTAACAACGGTTTGCATGTAAAGGTCACTTTTATAAGGTCAATAAGAGTATCAGCTCTCACGTTTGGCCGATTTAATAAGCTGGGTAAAACATGCTCTACAAGATGTCAAGCTGTCTTCTCATGTCTACCCCGTCTGAGATGACGTAGGCCCTTGTATACGTTATGTCATATTAAATATTAATTATATTATACATCAAATACAATACAATAGCATCGTAAATCAAATTATCTTCAACCGTAATAACATATGCTAGCCCAGGAGAATATCCGCGAAGAATAGATTTATTATATGATTTCTAGATATCAAAGTTTTATTCCAACTAAAACTTAACGATCCGGTGGAATGGATAACGGGGATAATTAGAGAAGTTGTAGCAATCCTCTCATTTGCCGTAAAACTGAACAGCCCCGCGTTATATTGTTCAATTAGTGGAATGTACGGCGTAGATCTGTTGCAAAGCCATCAAAGTAACGACGCCTCCGTTATTATAGCACGTCTATCAACTCTCGATCGAAACTATGACGTATGGTAGTGGACCAATGACATTACGACGCCTTTGCACTCCTCTATGATTCTTGCCAAAGTATTGTCCAAACAGAAGCGGCTTTCGCTTTAATTTACGAGTTGTTAATTATTTGGGGATAATACGAATATTTGTCTCAAGTAGGACTCGAAGTACCCATCAAAATATTTCTTTGTTCTCCTCGGTGATAACGTAAAAACTATTTATTATTGCCTATATATACAAATAAATTCATGTATTAGAATAGGTAGGTAGAATTAATAGTTAAATTACATACGATTATTACGATATGAACATCATCATCATTTGGGATTATTAATACCACTGCTGATATTTTATTTACTGTAATCTAAGTTAACCTACTAAGTCTAGGATCTTCTTACTTTTCCCATACCCCGATCAAATGCTTCAGAACGCATCGAGTTTAAGTTTTGAATAGAAATCAATAAAATATAGTACACAATCGGTACCCGAATTAACATATTTCACATAACAGTGACCTAATAATCTCTAAGCCGCTTTCCGTGACAAGCTTGACATTTATATCCGAGATACAGATAACTAATGGTGGTTTTAAAATGCTAATGTGCGCTGTATATTACTTATTACTAAATAAATTGTTGCCTGAGCAACGACACTGGCGATAAAACGAAAAGATCGTTTTATTGTTTTCAACAACAATTTTATTAGCTGCGCTCGAGCTATAAAACAGGGTCTATTTCTGTTAGTGCTATTGACTACGTTATGTAACTTTAAACATTTGGATATAATATTATAAATTTTCGATTCTAAATAACAAAACTTAAATCACTCTAAACCAAAACGTTTCATAGCATAATAATAATAGTTTTTGAGTCAATTTTATTGACACATTCGTCAGTACACTTTCATGAAACATGACTTTTGAGCGGAATTAATAACAGTTGAAAACTGGGAACAGCAGCTGGATAAATCAAGGAGTACAAACGAAAACGCAAGCACATACCAAAGACAAAACAAACTCGTTGCTCAAATAGCCGATCGCACATTACACACAATAACTTTAGCGTCCTTTCTCGAACACTCCTAATGTCTACGGATATATTTCTTAACGTTATCCCGCTTTCGGTGTGCACTACATACATTTCTGGGACGAGGGGAGAGGGAGTGCGGAATACGTTTCTTTTGTGGACCACGATTACTGACATTAGGCCGTATTTGCTGCGAAGACGCTATTGAAATAGATTTTCCGTTTCTCATGTAATCGCACGAGTAGCCGGCTCGTGTCCGATTTGTATTCAATTAGTGCCACTGATAATTTTATGCCATTTATTATTCGGTTGAACGAAACTATGGGAGGGTTTTCATCCACATGAGTACAGATATAACTTTTGGCTCAATGTGGAATGAAAGTGACTCCATACGTAGTATAAAAATTCCTTATATTTTGCAGAAAGTGGTTTAATGCACTTTTTGTGTGTAGCCGCCTTTCGAATGTTACTGTCTCCTCGACTACAGGATGAATATAAGCATTATGACCAAAATTAATTCCAATTGACACGTAAATAGCGACATATCCAATGCATTAATATATTATCGAAGAGATACGAAGTTTTAAATGAAAAACTATGTTCTTCTAATTGGACAGATTATCGAGCATATCTGGTTTGATTTATTTATCTTATGCAGTTGTTTCATTACTATATAGTACCCGAAGGATTTTTTTGTAAATTATGTATTTGGAAATTAAAAAAAAAATTAAAAATAAAGAAAATGATCTGGTATATAAAAAAAAGTAAAAAAAATAAGTGTGTTAATGAGCGTGATACGAACCTCGGCCGTCTGTTTTGGGGCCGCCCGATTACCGACCAAGCTATTATAACATTTTATTTTGCGGCGAAATTTACTGTCATATTCGAATGATATTTTTCATTTGCTGAAAACAGGGATAAAAGGACATTTTCTAAAAATAAAACCAAGCTAGATCGATTTTTCGCCCCCGAATCTACGCACATACTAAATTTCATGAAAATAGCTGGAGCCGATTCCGAGATTCCGATTATATATATATATATATATATATATATATATATATATATATATATATATATATATAAGAATTGCTCGTTTAAAGGATAAGATTAACTGTAATGGGCATGCAATGTTATTTTCGTTTAAAACTTGGCAGTACCTATTGAACGGATCAATGCAGGATTAGGTGGGACAGGCGAGGTTCAATTCGTGAGCTATTTCTAAGCACAGGTTCGAATTTACCGTTTGACGGTTATCGCCAAACACTGCCCAGGGAAAGCATTTGTACCGAGTTCGAATGGTCACTGGGATAACAAAGCTCTCACGACCGTTACCCTAATGAGGTGGTCAGAGGTCGAGATAAGTAGGTCGGTCTGGACTCATTATTTAGAAGGGATTATCTCCACTAATGTGACAAATATCTATCACATCGCACGATAAGTTTACAAGTGTACTGTTAAAAATAGACGCAAGAAATAATATTACAACTTATTTGAAATGTTGGGAAGTGAGCAGGTGGTCCATCTGATAAGTGATTACCGCCGCCGTGAACAGCTACAATACGTTAAGCGTTGCTGCGTTGCTAACCTTTCAAAAAGGTGCCTCTGTTACCTCACTCTCCAGGCGAAACGCGAAACTACAGCTTCCACTTCACGCGGTTCTCCTGCAAGGTTCATACTTCACCGGGCGAACCTTTACACGTGGATGCGTACTATTATTGTTGGCAACACTAAAGGAAGTCATTCCTTGAGGTTGTTGGCAACACGAAAAGAAGTGTCATTCTATGAGATATAAATGAAGCTGCAAGAAGCATTTCAGGGGTCTTCGTCGTAGTCTTCGTCTTCTTTGGCTGTCAAACCAGAAGTATACACGAAAGTGCTGCCCAATCGGTATCACAAATTAAAGCGTTAGAGTGGTGTTTCATTATTGATATTAAAGTGATAAAATAAGTAATTATACCAGTGTCATTGTTGTGCAAAGTGAAACTACGGTGATTTGGTAAAAGTATTTATGTTTCTACCTTCTTAGCTCGATAAAATAAAGTATAGCTAACATTATATACATAGATCTGCTAAACACGCACCCTCTGGTCGTAAGCTATAAATACGTCGAGGAATGTGGCCTGGCGCGTGAAAGCAAACAGCCCCCGGCTCGGCGCGTCCGTGGCTATCTGGCGGACACTATCTTGAGGGCTCGTCATGGGAGGAACTGGTCGCCCTCTCTCGGGCAGTGGGGCGGAATGCGAGCGATAGGTTTTTTTTTTAATTTACATTCATTATATTGATACTTTTTTGTGTAATATAGTAGTAGGTGTTGTGAATTTATTGCTTCGTTATTATAATATTATGGATTTCACTATTCGCTTGCTAATAAGTGCTTGTCTGTTTGTCCCCCCTATTTATGATGCAACGGCAAAAATAATAATTTCAATGAAATTTGCAATGGTGATCGCTAATATGAATCCATAAAATGTTCTTAAGTAATTTTGAAAATATATCGTATTTTTTAAATAAAATAAATTTAAATAAAGCCGTGCAATCGAAAATAACGTCTGTAATTTGGCAATCGCGCAAACGCAGTAAAACGAACATCATAATTACTTCTTCAATCAATCACATTATTATCATTATTACGTCAGTAGCATTTTTTTTATGTAAAAGTTTCCAAACGAGCAGACGGTTCACCTGATGTTAGGTGAATACCGCCGACCATGGACATCTGATACACCCGAGTGTTACAGATGCGTTGACAACCTTTTGAAAATTGTGCTCCGGCTACCTCACTCACCAGACGAAACGCGAAAGTATTTGTCATACTTCCACTTTACGCTGGTCTTCTGTGGGGTCGTGGTACTTACCCGGACTCGCCTGCCTATTCGTGCAACAGCCGAGGCTGCTACGTGGCCCTACCACCGTAATATTCTGGCCGCTTGCGAAATCGATCCAACCGCAACGCAGCGATAATCGCTGCCGCTTGTAAGTCGCGCCGCAAGCGTCCCTGTATCCGGCGCCGACGTCCCAACAAACACGAGATGGGGCGGATAGCTGTGCCATGTATATTTAGTGTAATTACTGCGATCGGAGCCGGGGGTCGGGCGGTGTTGCCGACCCGCCGGCAGATAGCGAGCGATAACAGGCGATAGTAAGCGATAGTATCGCACGCAATCGCCGCTCTGACCCAAATAACGCGACGCGAGGCGATCGTTTCTGACAGGTGCACGACGGAGGCTGTCCACGATCGGGAATTATTCGGTATGCCAATTCGCGCGGTTAGTAAAACCGTAAATACGACAAACATAAATAATATATTATTTCAATAACTTTTTTTTTATGTGAAAAGTTGCGAGCAGACGGTTCACCTAATGTTAAGTGAATACCGCCACCCATGGATATCTGCTATACCCGAGGGTACCAGATGCGTTGACAACCTTTTGAAAATTGGGCTCAGGCCACCTCACCCACCAGACGAAACGCGAAAGTATTATACTTCCACTTCACGCCGGTCTTCTGTGAGGTCGTGGTACTTACCCGAACGAGCCTGCCCATTCGTGCAACAGCCGAGGCTGCTGCGTGGCCCTACCACCGTGATAACTTAAAATAATTTTGAAAGATTGATTGTTTAACAAAGAAGTAACGGTTCCCTTCACAGCTATTAGGTCAATGCTACTGCTCAAGAAGATAAATATAAAATAAGACATTTAAAACAATAAACTCGGAAAGAAGCGATTCGAAATTCATATCTCGGCGCGCAACCAAAGAATAATAAATTGTTTATGAATTGAAACATGTGGAAGCTAGCGGTCGAATTGATCACCCCAATTTACATATTGTCGATGGATGATAAGATACGCACCGCACATGACAAATGTACGAACGTTGTCTATGACTTATGTGGGAACAATGTCGCCAGATGTTTTCACGGCTTTACTGGTGCCACCCGCACGCAGCTATAAGTCTATGGATGTCAAATGTTCCAATTAAAATTTAACCATTCAAATGATTTGGGTTGAAATGTTTGTTGCGGAGCCATTACATATTTAAAGTATATAATATTGGCACATTATAATCAAGGAGCTAGAGTAAATAAATTTAGAGTTTGGTAACATTTGGAATAAGTAAGTCATAAGTTAAATATTAACCAGGAAAGGAAGTTAAAATAACGTCTAGTATTATCAGTTTTCTGTAGGAAAAAGTTTGTTCTGGGATGTACCACAGTGTCGCAGAAGACAAGTTTAAAGAAATAAATATTGAAGAAACCATATTAAATGCTAGCAATACAGCTGTAACTCCAAAAAAAATAGTCCGTTGAGGTTTCTTAATTAACAGGTGTTTGTCGTCAATCATCTCTGTTTTAGGAGATAAGAGACATATCTAACAGTGGATTTGTAACGTTATACTTACAGGATAAGTTAATTCTTTTATCGCGTATTATTTACTTCTACCAATTGTTTGTATGCTGGAAAGGATATAACAATAGATGCGCCAAGCATTGCTTCAAATGCTACAAAACAATGTAGATAAAAGACGTTAAGATTTTAGTCGGTATGGCAGCCGTTTAGCTTAGTGGCTAAAGCGTCAGGCCGCGAATGCCGAAGACGTGGGTTCGATTCCCACAGCGGCGACAATCTTTTCGTACTTTTTCTACAAATTTTAATACTTCTAGCAATGTTAGAATCTTGAAGTGTACCTACAGAAGTTTCCGCACAAATCCCAGTTTAGTACTTACCTGAAACAATACAATACAATAAATTAGAAACTCATTCGTAAATCAAAACTGCAATGAAATGTCCAAGTCGCGGATAGCGGTTCTGTGAATTATCGGTTCTCGTGCCAGCTCAAAGGCACGGAATTCGGTTTCGTCGATATAGAGGCAACAATACACAAATTCAATAGAGAAAATTTTCTATAGAAACGCTAAACTAATGTATTGTTAATCTCCAACACGTGTGTCGAGAAACTAAAGGGACAATCCCTCTAAACAAGGGATTTAATAATGCTCCTTCTACTGTCTACTTTATGAAGATAGTGATAAAGTTGAAAATATTTTGTGGGTTGCGAATCGAAAGAGAAATAAAATAGATGAAATTATTACTCTGACTATGAAGCCATTTTTCAAAAACATTATGGATAAAATTGCACCATTTAAAGCTATGGTTTCGGATTTTATCAATATTTTATGATTGAATCCAAAATCGTATAGATCCTATAGGCCTCGAGAATTCGCGAGGGCCTTGCCGCCTATTTACGCTATTTGCTCGGAGGCCCGTGGCCGATGAAGAAATGGGAACCAGGGGCCGATTAAAGCCGATCTGACCTTGGGAACGGCTCGACCGCCATCGCTCGGAATGCTCTTTTTTATTGAGGGCCGCTAATTTCTTTTTAAATGCCAGCCCGATATAACGAGAGACATTCGTACAATACCATATACGTAGCGGTAAGTATTGTTTATTTTAATGAATACTGTAGCGTCTTCAAGAAGAAAAGTATGTACGTTGTGCGCCTTAATTACAAATCTATTATTTCATTTTCTCTATATTCAGTCAGAAACATTAATTAAGTTTTTATCTTTGCGTATTATTGAATATTTGCCCGGTACAAAACAGAAGTACGTATATAAGAGATATAGTTAGTATATACAAAATAAGATATTATGAAGACAATGTTAATAAATTATGTTTCATTTGCGACACGTCAAGAATAAACTCTGATCCGTTTTCCCGCGCGTCTAAGAAGTATGACTTCAAAAGAAATACTTCGACCGTCGCTATTCGATAAAGGAAACAGTCGCTGAGGCAACAAAATCGCGGCGGCCGAATCCACGAATCTCGCATTAATACACGAGCGGTGGCGAAAATGCAAATACCTCGAAAGGGACGGGAGTACCTCCTTTGCGAGACGTAAAGCTATACCTTCCATAAATGTTTGCGCGGATTCTTTGTGCCCGATGTCTGACAAAAGGAGGGTACTTTTTTTTTTTCTCCAGCGCGCGACAAAAGCGTTCCGTGAATGTATTAAAATGTTCACAAGTTTTCTCTTTCGGCGGGTCCAATTGTAGAAATGATGACGGATGGGGCCGGCGGGTGACGTCGACGTTATGAAAGACATAGATATATATATATATATATATATATATATAAAAAAGGTAGATTAAGGGATGATTTCAAGGCCCTGTAGTGTTTGTTATGTGCCAGTTACTTTTCTTTTGATTAGAAGGGTTCCTTCGGTCCTGTTTTAGCATCGTAAGGTTAAAGGATTTACTTGTAGGAGTTACTCTTACTATCACTGATCGGTCAAATGACATTTCACGTTATGAGCATTTTTCTTAGAAAAACGTTAAGGAGGCACTCAACTTTATCACTTAACCTTTTAGGATTTTTCTACCTTAATAAAACTTTGAATATTACATTAACGCTAGTTTTATTATTTGTAAGTTATCATAATCAAGTTGGTTACAAAAAATTATAAATTTTATTGTAATTTATTTTACATACGGAATAAAGATTGTTAGAATTAAATGAGAATAGATTTGTGAATTTATAAAAATATGGCTAACTACCTAACTTTATTACAATGGTATATGGTTTAAATCTCTTTGGAGATGCGTGCAGTTACTATATATACTTAAGGTATAACGCTTCGGCGCTCATTACGTTAACTAGCTTATGATTTTGTACATTATACTCCATTTTGGAGTATTACTAGCGGAGTAAAAACAAAATCTCGCTATCACCGTAATTGGTATTATTACATCGCAGTCGAGTGGTTATTACTGTTTATAGAGATAATTCATTGTTAGGGTTAATAGGCATTTACCGGGGTAACGCGTTTGACTGCATCACAAGTACTAATAGGTGCGATGGTAGGTAATTTTTGATGGAAAATAGGCAACGGAGCAGGCGGTTCACCTGTTAAGTGATTACCGCCGCTAGTACAGCATTTAAGGGATGCATACGGGTTTAAAAAGCAGGCCCAATTACCTCTATTAACAGAAGAAACGCGGAAGTATAATACTACTAATTTACGACGGTCTTATAATGTGAGTACAATGCTAGAGTTTTCAAGTACTTTTGACATCTTACACGCGTAGTTGATAAAGAGTAATTCGGGTTAAGTCGACTGCCTAGCATTAGGCGAGATAGTAGATCATTAGCCACTTGGTAAATTAAAAATTTATTGAAAGTCATACGATTTTAATTCGATTAAAGCTTGTTAATTTCAAAATTTACCGGATAAGAGCTCGTAAGAAACTATACAGACAGACAGATGCTTTTTTTATTCAATTAAGCGTAGTTGACTACTACTGGTGCGTCGCTCCATACGACCAAAGAGACTTGAGGTCGAATTAGATTTCACGTAGAATGCTAGCAATTTTCTTTAAATCGAATGAGTTTTTGTAAAGGAAAACCTTCAAAGTCAAAGTTTCTTTACTAACGTCATAAAAACAAAAGAGTGAAGTATATTACTACTTCAAGGATATTACTTCACTCTTTTGTTTGTATTTCGAATGGATCTTTAATTATAGCACGGCGGAATAAAACATTTTCGTTAAATATCCGTTGTGCTTCCTGCCTAACGAAAGCTTTATATATATTAGATACACGATACAATGATCTCGAAATACCCTCTGGGTAATAAGCAGGTGCCCTCCCTAATGGCTACCAGCGAAGTGTTCTTCGCGGATTAACAATGTAGGGCTTAATACGGTATTAGTGGGGCTCGCGGAGGGCCTGTGAAACGGACGAGCGGTTTGCTCCTTTGTTCCTTCTAATTGTTACTGCGGCGAATTAATTTAGACTAAGGCCGGGCTTAATTTTCGGACAGGCCACATCTGTCATAATTATTCGGCAAGTTGGGGGAGTTAAATCTCGCACCAGTCCTCGAACGGAATTTTGAGGTCACAATAAAGCAAAACGTCAGCGAAGTTCATGTAACAAGAACGGTTCTTCAGGCTTCGAAAACCAGTTCTCTGCGGTTTTCTTCTTCTTTCTTTCTCCTGCCCTTATCCCACACTAGGTGGGGTCAGCACAACATGCGATCTCCTTCCACTTTACTCTATCAGCCGTCATCCCAATACTGACCCCTTTCCCAGACATGTTCTTCACACAGCGCATCCACCTCTTTCTCGGTCTCCCTCTAGCCTTGCACTCTCCAATCACATTCATATTCACCACTCTTCTAGTCACAGTTCTCTCGATTTTATTAAACTTATTTTGCGTTAAAAACTCGCGCGTGCACAGAAAAAAGGGTCGAGAGACGTTGCGTGTTGTACGCAGGGTCTCTCGATGGTGACTTATCCAGCAATACAAAGCAGATCGTTTGGCTGTCGACACTGGGCACCCTGCAGCTCGAAATCGCACCTTTAGAATTAAAGGGAACTAATTATGAAAATCATAACTTTGGCTTTATAAATTTTATGTCTTTATGGCTTTATGTCAGGAATCGACCTAAAACGATCACCTTTTTAATCCTATTAAAACATGGGCCGATTTTAGAAAGCTACATAACGTATACTACTGTCTCTTTCACTTCCCCCCAATTAGCGCGTTTGTTCATAAGTTCCACAAATCCTTATTTTACGTATCCCAGAAATTTATATTTTTAAATAGGTCTCAAGTCTATAATTCTAAAGGTGCGAAAATACGAAACGTGCCATCGGTGGCAGCCGGTCGGATTCGACTTATGCACAAAATTAGCGTGCCCACATCCACAAGGATTGATAAAGGATAATGACACGCTCGAATTACTACAATGCACTATACGTGACGCGTGACGCTGCGAAAAAATATGCGGAGAGGTTGGAATTTGCATAATTTCGCCTGATCGTTACATCTTATCGCGCTCGTACGGCGCGTGTGCAGCGATACGGCACTACGTGACAAGGCCCAAACGACCCGAGGAGCGTAAATGGTCCTTGCTGCGCGTGGAGATATTTAAACAGGATTTACTTTAAGTATAGTAATAATTTTCAATAAAAAAAAGGCAAACGAGCAAGCGGTTCATTTGGACGGGCCGCCTGTACCCGACATGTTGCCTGACTTCGCCAGCCAAGGGTCAGACAGAGCTGGCTAGAACTAGTATTGATGTAGGCTCCGACTAGTATTGATTTTGCAAACGCCGCGTGCATTTACCTAGACCCCACTGTTGTTCAAGTTGTCCGTTGGGTCGTTTAGAAAGCACTGATTGTGCTTAAGGAAACATAAAATTAGAAACGTAAGGCAGCCTACTTATAACACATTCATTCATCGCGACGAATAACGGTACGAATAAAGGGGAAGTAAAGAACCGAGTAGTTAATTATTTTAATAAGTAAAATATATTTTCTACCATATTGTCAAATGTTCCTAATCATTAAAATATTTTTAATAACGAGAGACGCTTCCTTAGCTCAAGCGACATTCTTCATCCATTTTCAACCGACTACAAAAAACAGAGGTGCTTAAATCGGTTGTATAATTACATGTACTGCTTCGCAACTCCGTCATTTATAAACCAAATAGGAAAATTCTTTTTTGTTGGAAAGGAGATATTTCATTCATTCACATCAACGTCAAATGCCATTCGTGTACACGTGATATGCATTATCTGCCCCAAAACTAATTCTGGTACAAAGTTCTCAGCATCCCTTAACACCACAATATAATCTGTTAAATAAAATGCACATTTTAGGTACAAAACAATATGTGCACTCAATGATTGCAATCTAGATGACAGCCTTCTCGACTCGCTGATCCTGGACGTCACAAAACAAAACGCTTCCTACACTACGCCTATATACCGTACAGTAGACGTGCTGCAGAACAAAATGGCGACCTGGAAATCAGAAAGGGGTACACGACGGGGGCCAAATGAGAATCTCGTCGCTCCAGAGGCCATAAAGGGGGTCGTTTGAGCGAATGTAATCCTCAGAACAACGAAGCTTACGTTTAGAGTCGCGCGACGCCTAATTTCTACTCCTTCGCGGGCTATGACCCGTGTAATTGTAGTTCCCGCCCGAGACTCGAATGGATGTCAACAACATGAGAACAAGAAGTGCTCGCTGCGTTCATTTTAACTTGGATATAGTCGGGGTCTGCGAGGTCGTTGTGGCGGAAAATTGTTTTTTTTTATTCGCAACTGGCCAGCGCTTGGCTGCCATCCCACAGGATAGTAAGAAGCGATGCACCGTTGATGGCTAGCTCAGTATAAACCTATTCACTCTTGCTTTGAATACGCCTACATAATAATCGCATGGAAAGACGGACGCCGGCAGGTTGTGTAAAGGTTTTTCTAAAGAGCCGGCCAGTGTTTGGTATTACTCTACACAATTTTCAGCTTCGAAGTCTAGATCCGTAAGATGACGCAGCCTCTACTGCACAGGTTAGATTTGTCGATTAGTTTTTGCCTCTTGCTTGAATGGACCGGCGATACGAAAGACAAAGGAAAAAAGACTAACAGCAGTTTTACGTTTTTTCTGGTCAGTGGGTTAACCGTGACGTAATTTGTCGAACCCACTGGCGTGATATTGCGTACGCCCATGACTAGCAGCGACCACTTATCGCTCACTTATTACCGAAAGAATTGCTGATAGTTTTTAGACAGCTGTTAAGTGTAAGCCGCCTTCCAACTCCGTTAAATCGACGTAACTTTGAGCTTATTAAGTCAAGCGATCGTTTAAGTGCAACGTCGCACGCTCGAAACTCACGACGCTGTAACTAACCTCTTATGGCCGCTGCCATGAATAGCCGAATTCACACCTTAACAACGACTAAATAGAATTCTATTTCCCCTGAAAATATTGCTACACTCGTTGCAAGATCTGGGGATATACGGGCACGTACAGTCGACGGCTCTCATAGACCGGTACGCAGAAAGTTAATGCGGTGCAAAAAGGTAACATGGCATGCGATATTGGGGCTAAACGCACGCGTCTAAAAGCTAGGTAGCTACCGACTATAGGTACTTGGTCGGAATGTATTTACAATATTGTTAAGGTTCCGTACAGTGGGGTAACCTAAACCCTTATCAAGTGGGCTTCCCTTGTTGTCTGTCTGTATTTATGTCCTATCGAACATATATGGTTGAAATTTATGTCTAATAATACCCACGGTCCCTTGACAGAGCCAATACTTTAAGGTTGACATAGAAATAGGCGAAATCAAGAGCTACGAATATTTATGCCATATATTTTGATAATAACTCATGCGTCAAAATATTTATACATGATGCTTGCCATGGCGTAAAACCGTGAAATTAGACTAGAAACACGGTTTTACTCTACTGTATTTTATAGGGAAAAATTCTGTTTTTTTTTTTTAGTTTTTTAATCGTCATATAAGATAATGAAGGCTATACCGGCAACATCAGTATTCATTCTACTAGGAGTACTGTTATAATAGGAATTAATTTAACAATTTTATGAGAGGACTTTAAATAATTAATTAATTCATTGCAAAGCGATTTAACATTTCACAACGCTCCGTGGGAAGTTGTGGTGTCTCCAAATGATTACTGATTTTAAGTAGGACAAAGTTATTACGGTTAGCATTTTAATTGATTAACCATTCAACCCAACACTATTAATATAACATATGACAAAAACATGGTAGTAGGGTAGCAGTTTACATGCAGCTTTAAAAATAACTGTGGGGTGTATTATAAATTAAAAAAATCACTTGATGGGAAATTCTTCTCTTGAAGAGAATATTTCTTTATCTTGTAAATATTTTCTCACTGTAACATTTTCAATGTTTATAAAATAATTTGATATAAATATGTATCTTTGCTAAAATAAAAACTAAAAAATTTTCGAAACAGTATTTCCTATAGTTATCGTAGTATATTCAAAAGACGAAGACAAAAATTAGCAATGAATCATTGTAAAAACAAACGATATAAATATTCTAAAAGTTGTTTTACACAAAAAAGCTGGCGGTAATTTTTTTAATACTAATTTTTAAAGCCAAACTCGATATCGAACCTAATGCATCGGCGCATTCAAATTGCAAGACATCAGAATTTGATAATCGGTGGTTGCTCCACAAGCAATAGAAATTGATTCAGATTCACTCCGGTAAATAAATCATGATGGATCGTAAGGAGGCCCCGATTCATTATTCATCCGTTGCGCTAGTTCGGTTTGTCCCAATCAGAAATAGACTTCCAGCGCGAAAGACCGATCAATCTCCCCAGTGTCAGTACAAACAATTGCCCAATTTGAATCTAAGAAAGCGTTTAATCCGAACAAGTTGCGCGCTTTAATCGGATACGTAAAGCGGGTGAGCACTCCGCGCCCATTTGTACTAGTCGGACCCATAATTAACCCGGACAGGGCCTGGGCTGTAAACGCTTAACTGCCATTTAAACGGAAGAGCAACGAAAACGCGTAACCGGATTCCTGGCGGCTGTGAGCAACGTTTACGCATTTGTTTCGAGAGCTAATTAGTTGAGTTAAGCGGAGTGTGCCCGATAGCGTGTTAAGGGGTCGATGGCCTTGGATTATGGAGTTATTTGTTATTAAGGCGACAAGTCCTGGTGACTCACGTAATAGCAGGTTCTTCCAGCTGCCGCCGAGGGCGCGCAGGCAGCGGTGCAGGCGCGGCGTGGGGTTGGCGGGCGGGGCGCGCGGCAGATTCATCCTCACATCGCCCTCCGACGAGCTTCTAGCGAGCAGGGAGAAACCCCTGTCGCGAGAGAGGGACCTACGCCGCCCGAACGGCGCGCCCCTCACAGTGGCGAACGTCTCCTCACCCGTCCCGTTGAAGCTCTCCATCGGAATGGCCTCTGGCTCGTCGCGCCTGCTTCTCACGGAGAACGTTCTTTTGAAGCCACTAGTCAGGCCCTCCATCGTCTTTCGTTTGGGCTTTGGAATCTCCTCGGAGCTGATCACCGTTATGTTATCAAGGTCCTGAGGGTCGTACGTCCTGTAAGCTCTGGGCTGTTCGAGGCCAGTCAGGTCCTCGATTCCGCCGTGTCTGTACCTCAGCGGCCTCCCGCGGTCTATCACTCCGAGCTCGTCGTAGCTCCTGTAAGTGGACGAGGCGCGTCGTGGCGCCGGTGGCCGACCGGCTCTGTCTACGGTCATTTTGATTGTTTCGGGTTAGCGAACACCTGATGAAGAGACGAAAGGTTTAAGGCGCTTTTAGTCGTTTACCCGTTCCCGAATTCCAACCTTGTATCTTTCGATCTGATCATCTCGGCTTGCGATCACCGATTGGTCAAAAGTCGTGGCCGCCGCGCACTAGATCGACAAAGGGCCTGTCAGCGAAACCAAGCATATAAACACTCAAACAACGTCGGAGTTGGTGGAGATAATATCGAGGGCAGATTGAATTGAACAAGCATTAATTGTTATTCAAATACCGCATGCAAGAACGCAGAGCAGACGTGGCATAATGAACGCTCACCGTTACCTCCGTCGGCGTTATCGTCTTTAACTGTCGATATTTAACCGACGACGTCGTGAGGATTATCTCGGCGGGATCGGAGGTTATTACAGTTAGTGTTATATCTGCGTGTGGGCCGCGGCTTTAACGTAGCAATGTCGTGACTTGTCCGGCGTCTGAACTAACATCGCAATAAATGGTGAAACGTACTTTATATGTAACGTGTGCACGAGCTCTGGTGATATTTTGTCTTTCCATTACAGCTACGGTGTTTGTTTTATCGTGGTTAGATACTGTGGTAGGGCCATGCAACAGCTTCTGATGTTGCACGAATGGGCATTATAGTTTCGCGTTTCGTCCGGTGAGTGAGGTAACCAGGGCCCACTTTTTTAAAGGTCAGCGTATCTGCAAGCCCCTAAGGTGCAGTAGATATCCATGGACGGCCCTTGACAACTTTTCACGTAACAAAAACCTGTTTTTCTTAAAACAACCTACTGGCTGAACTGCTTTGTAAATTTAAAAGAGAGAAAAAATAGCGGTAGCTAAACATCGAAGGCGGAGGGAGAAAATAAATTGCAAAGTCGGATCGTCCGTGAAAAGTTTATTTTCTCTGTGAGTCGCCCCGACTCAGTCCGACCGCGAAGTCTGCTTGCTAATCGTCGACGAGTAGCAGCGGACGAACAACCGGCGCTCTTTGTGTAAAATTTAATCTCGCGACTCCATATTGATCCCGTTCGCTTTTCAAACATTTGTGTTTTACTCAAAGGATGATATTACTCTGCTGGCAATTCACTGGCAGTGTTTGTTTGAAATGAACGGCGCGAGTTTTCAGTTTTTTTGTTTTTCAGAAAATTCGAAATCCAAATTTATGACCTTATACGTCTTCACGTAACGAAGTTTCATTATTTCATAACATTCCGTAGTCAAATGTCTTCATCATAAACCTTTCCGGAAATGCTTTTTTTATTTTATTTAAGAGTGTTAAGTGAAAACCATCGCTTATGGACATTTGCAACGGGTTGTTGGACGAAAAGCAGAACTTTTGGTCTGGTCTCTTCTATTTCACGCCGGTCTTCCGTCAGGTCGTGGTACTTCCCTGGACCTGCCTATTCATGTAACAGCGAAGACTGTTCCGTGGCCCTAGTGCAGATTATTATCTATTTCACAGATTCTATGAGATGTTGTATTACGTCCTATAGCATAAACAAATCCAAGCCATCGTCAGCCCCTCTTAATGAAAATTCTATAACCAGTTTGCAAACCACTTTATGATAGAGATTCCTTTACATAACAGCTTGATTAAATTCATTCGTGGAACACACGGACGCCATAACGATTTAGAATTTGGCCCATTTCCACGCGACTCGGAATGAGGATAGGACACTTGGCCACTCAATTCACTAACCGAGAGCGACGGAGGGAAACGGCCGATTAGCGAATCAGCACTTCCCAATCGCCGGCGGTTCGACAGCGTTTGACCGATTCGACCTAAAGTACATTACGCTCACGTTTTTAGTGTACTGTACGTTGCAATTTCAATCAATTGCGACCTCTCTCATGTTATGTTTAGAAATATGTAACTTTTTTTTTAAATTGACAAATCTTTCCAGTCAATTATCAATTAGAGATTAACGAAAAAAACTCGGTTAAATTGGAATCAAAACTACTTTTAATACGCTTAAGTATCAACATTAGTCTTGATTGAGATATAACCGAGCTTTTCATTCCATTTCAATCCCAAATTCCATTCTCAATATGATAAGATTCAAATCTTTTCGGATTGCTCTAAAATGAACATCATTTGATCCCTTATTAAAAAGTGAGTGACCCTAGCTTTCTCTGTCGGCTATAAAATCTTGTTGCAAAAAAAAAATTAAACATTAACATTGTTTCCAAATAAAGTTTTTTAAATTACAAACTCAAACTGAAGCTCATTAAAGTATGCCACGCGTTCTTCACAGTAAAAGCAATCATTATCGGCGACCGATTGCGTATAAATCGTGTATCGGACAAAAAGGCGAGTTCGAGAATGGCAAAATGTCACACTTATTACCGAGAAAAGGGTAAACGATACCGCGGAAGCTGAAACGCCTACACGTAACAACGGCGGACACTGAAGGCAACTGTAATTGATACGCGATATGATTGGCTTGTGTACGCGAACTGTACTTGTAGACTGAATTACATAGACTTTATACACTTTCATTTGCTTTTAAACGACGAGCGTATTCTGTTCGGTCACGGGTCTTGTGATAAAAGCCATTAAATCGTTCAATATGCAGTAAACTCGAAAAAGCCTTTCTTAGCATGTAAAGTACAGGTATAATACTTATGCCTTATTGGACCTTTAACCTAGCTATAGTAAAAGATATAATGAAAAGCTTCGTTACAATTTCGTTACATTGTGCGAAAACAAGACTAGAAATTGTGAAAAATGGCCGCTAGAATTTCAATTGGGGACCCACAAGTAGTCAACGTACAAGACGAGGCGATGACGACCTAAAATTGTTCGAGTGAAAAAACGTTTTCTAGTGGGGCAATCTTAAAGCCTACTACGCAAGTGCTTGACTTAAAACAATCTCAATACGGAACCACTTATGGAGGACGGCTCGGAGTTTTGAAATCGGCCTCGACTAAAGCGGCCCTCGAGTGAAGACTAAACAAATCTAATATCTCCGTTGAATGACGCCAGCACGTTTTGGAAAGGGGCGGGAAAAGTTTACGTGGCAACAATGAATGCACTCTTTGCATTGCGTTTAGATTTTAAAGCGATCCCAATGTCGGAGTCATTTCTATTTATTTAAAAACGGCGGTAGCAGTTTTGCAACTTGGCGGATATCAAAAGCTCCTCAATTCAATTTTATGTGCAATATTTGGCAAACGACATAACATCAGGTGAGTGCTGTTAGGCTGATAATAAGGTATTCTCGCTGCCCATGGACATCTGCTGGGTCTGAGAGGTTGCAGCAGCTTCGAAACAAACTACAAACTTTAAGAACGATGGCCCCCGGTCACATATCTCCCCAGAAAAAAACTAAAAAGGATAAACTTCAGCGTCAAGCTGGTGTCCTGGGAGAAAATGGTACGATCCTGCCCATCCAAGATATAGTGAGAGCTAGCGTGGCCCTAACATACAAAATTCTCGAAATACGATTTCGAAACCCAATAGTGGAATGAGCCAAAGAATTCTTTCACTATCCGACTATCTGATATTCTAAAAGTCATATCTCCAATAGAGGAGAATACGACAGTCTCACCATCTATCTACTTGTAATATATAACTCTATGAATATTTAACATTTTCTCTCACGTCAGTTCGACTAAATACTCGTAGTTACTGCCAAATTTCGGCGCTGCTTCGTCCCTTTCGTTGTCAGTTAATTGAAAAGGGATGGGCTCAACTTCAAAAGAGTTGCCCAGACAGTGGGCGCATACTATCGAGCCTCCAATAAGCCCTGCTCGGTGGCGAAGCACTGATAAGCCGCCGACCATAAATCACAAGCGACGGGATACGACGCACGCACGGAACCCACGGTCTGGCCAACAAAACAACGCCGTTGTGACGCAACAGTACGAATTCTAAGTTTCAAAATCATTTTGGACGCAGCTAGAGTTTCTTTTGTAAACGAGCGGAGTTACATGATTGATGTTTCTCTTTTGATTTTACTATAACGATAAAAGGAACACGAACTATCATTGTAGAACTTGCTTGAACAAGATTCGCCGAAATCTGGTAAATATGTCGATGCAGCTACAGACTGAGCGACAAAATTAAATATATAACATGTATTCTTCTTTAATATAAGAATTAAACAGCTAGCTGAACAGCTCGAGAATGGCGAACATTCAGTGACATAATATGTCAATACAATAATGATAATGTCGACACAATAATGCATCCATTACTCCAAAAAAATTCTGCGAGACGTGGCCCATGTTAAGTTGCCGCATTCGAGTCGATGAGAGAGTGCATCGTAATAATGTGTTGGGATGCATTAACACGCTCTCTGTGGCTGGTTGTGTAAACGCCCCGAATATGGTCTGCCGGTTCCACGCGTCTTAAGTTGAATACTTTTCGTGTCATTATAATCTGACCATATAGGGGCCGAACGGAAATTACCTCTTCCGAAGCGACGCTGCGAAACGATAGTGAGAGGTAAACTATTAAATTAATGTCACAAGAGACATCTCCTTAAGTGTAGATTGAACTACACTCTTCAATGATTTCATCGAAACGTAAAATATTTTTTTTTGATTCTACTTTATCACTCATTTTTAAACTGCTATCTAACGACATTACATTTAGTATCATTTTTTCTACAATTTTAAACATTATCCCTGCTAATGGATACTTTTATCTTGTGTTGCAGTTGTTGCATACATACAGAGAGATCGACTTCATGACAAATGGATAAACAGATGAATGAATTTGTTTCGATATTGCTTGTAGTTGTTAGTAAGGTTAAAACGGGAAGGTATCATGCGGAGAGGGCTGAGGGAGTACATTTAACTTCTGACACACATAACTTGTTACAGAAACCAGCGCCTGCATAACTCATCGTGAAGTTCGACCAAACAACGAACCCAGTAAGTCGCTCGCTAAACAATTACGAGCGGCATCATTAATAACCTACGCCCTTAATTATACAAGACGCATTTCTCCGGAGATAAGGCACGTTTATCATTCGGATGGCAGACG